ATTTATGTCACCAATTATTCATTATGAATTTTTATCGTAAAAAATTCAAAACCATAAAATAGTCTTTCATTTACGATTAGAGTCCATTATTCACTTTAGTCTAACAATCCAAACAATCAAATCATACCAAAGACATTAATAAATTAGTAGTATTTTTTTTTTTTGTTAAAAAACAAAAATTAAAGTCACGTAGTATGTAATAGAGGTGAGTTAAGAATGAAAAAAAAAATTGGTTTTCGTTATGAAATTCAAAATTTTAAAAAAAAATCCTAAAATCTAAGTAATTAATTGATATATATTACCATAAGAAATTTTGATCATATTTTTTTTTCTTTTAAAATATTAGGATTTTTTAAAATAAAAATAAAAATGTAAATATTACTTTTAAAAGTGCCTTGTATTTTAGTATGAACTATGATTCACGTCAAACCTCTAAATTATATGCTAAGATACACGAAAATTATGACAATATTTTCCTTTTAAGAAACTAATCAAAATGCTCTGCTTTTTTTTTTTTTTTGATAAGGGTAATGAATGGTTAGAAAGTTAGTATGAGTTAGTTGTTAGCAACTGAAATTTTAGAATGGTGAATATTCCATCCCTCAAATGAGGCGCGCGGTCATTAAACCGTAAGTTGGTGAAGTTCATGACGGTGGTAGGACTCGAAACCTTGACCTTCGCCTCACTCAAATCCTAAAGTTTGAGGACGAACCATTGGGCTTCAGGTCGGTTCGCATCAAAATACTCAGCTTTTAAAGAAACTTGTGTTTAAAGGTACACAATCGAAACTCTAAATTATGTGTTAAAAATTATAGAAATCATAGTTGAAAATATTTTTCTTTTTTCAAAAAATACAATATCTTAAAACAAAAATCATTTAAAAAGCCTTGTGTTCCAAGACACACAATCCAAGCTTAAGTCATGCTATAATACACGAATATTATTATTATTGATACAACTTTTTTTTTCCCCAAAAAACACTCTAGAACTTTATTTGGAACTTGAATTTTAGAATAACATTGAAATCAAATAGTTTTCCAAAAAAAATCAACTTCAGGTCAACAAAAAAAAAAAGTTTTCCAAAGAAAAAAATTTCAAATGCCACTTACCCCCAAAACGGCAAAACCACTTTCCCCCAGCAAACGGTTTTTTAAGCAGCCTTTTGTCCCTGCAAATTCCGAGGAATTAACAAATTCTCCTAATTAATTGACTAAATTTATCTTACCGTAGTACGGTATACATTAAAATGTCAAAATAAAATTAGAAATTTATGTTCTTCAAGTTGCATACGTATCTAAATTATTAAAATATTATTTAATAAAAAATTTATTAAAAATATTTTAATAAATTTATAAATTCTATTATCCTTCTAACTTAAAAAGTATTTTTTTTTATATAAAATTAACTACTTCGAAGTTTGGGAATAATGCGGTAATTAAGTCGTTGTCAGTGCTGCGTTGGGGCCACGCAATACATTACTACTTATCGATTCAGCTATCTAGTTTTGAGTTACAAAATTACACTAATTTATAATTATAATATTATGAAAAATTATAAATTTATGATTATAATATAATATTAAATTAATATAATATAATCTGAAATAAATATATGTTATATTATAAATAAATTTTAAATAAAAAATTTAATTAAATAATAACACAATATTTTAAATTTATAATTTTACATAATAATATAAGAGATTATTGCATATTACTATTAATTTTTAAAAAAATTAAGCTAGAATCTCAATTAAAAATTTAAAAATTAACTCTATTAAATATCTAAATTTAGAAATCTATTATATATTTTAATATAATTAGTTTTAAAATTTAATATTAATATTTAATAAGATAAATTTTTAAATTTTAAACTAAATTTTAATAAAATAAAATAATTTAATTTAATTTTAACATTCTAATTTATTTTTGGAGTTAGGACATTAGTGCATATGAATCTTAATTTCTAAAAAAATTAAAATATCAACTTACATTTAAAAATTAAAATTTCAATTCAAAATTTAAAATTTTACTCTATTAAATATTAATATTTAAATTTAAAAATCAATTATATATCTTAATATCATTAACTTTTAATTTTTAATTAAATAAAACATTGGTCCCCCATTTTATATAATAAATAGTGATATATGAATAATTTTTTATATTATTTTTGTATATTATTAAGTAAATATATTAAATATACTAAATTTTAAATAAATAAAAAAATTAATCATTTAAATAATACATAAAATTATATAAAAAATAATAAAAAATTATTTCTAAATCATTTTCTTCAATATAATTTCAAAAAATCTAATTCGGGGTCTTTGCTGTCTCGCACTTTTTTATACGTGGGTCCATTGCGAGCTCTCCACTTTCTCAGGTTACCGCAGTTCCCGAAACTGCCCAATAACTAATCGCCACGTCATTGTGTTGGGAATCTTTGGTTGGTTCGTACTGGCTTCCGACACATTTGACCCCACATTAACTGGCATTCTGTGACCTTTACCCAGTTGTCTCAGAAAAATCAAAATTTGGGCAGTTATCCAAATATTCCATTAATTAGCGGAAATGAAAGAAATTTCTTCCATTAAATCAAAGGCACGTTTGGCACTCCTTAATCTTTTGCAAACTCAACATCAGACAAAGATAAGAAATAATCCGCATAAGCAGGGCTTAACGGAGTAACTGAAGGAAAGGCGGCACGCTGACGTTTTATGACGGCAGCATAAGAACAAATTTGTTTTTTTATTTTTTGAACGGATTTACATTTTAAGATATTTCAAATCTGGGATATAATTTACTACGAGACATATAATTATTGGGTCACGAAAGAACAAATTATTAATTAAGTAAAGAAAGTGCATTGCCAAAAATAAAAATAAAAAAATAAAGAGGATGATATGCCACAACATTATAAGTTGAAGGGCTACTTTGCTGGCTTCTTAAGAAAGTGGAGCGGGAAACGAAAAATATGGTAAAGAAATTGGGTCAAGAGGCAGAGATCAAGAAAAGCGGTTTTGTGAAAACAACAGGGAAACAAACCACAGGAAGGTAGGGGGATCGATGATGGTTTTTCCTCACGAAAATAGAGGCACTACTTAAAAAAAAGCAATCAAAACCTAAGCAACGTTTAGTATAAAAAGGTGCACGAGCTGAGCCCTTCTTCCATCCCATCTCTTTTCTTGCATTTTCCTTGCGTTTTCATTTCATTCTTCTTCTTTTTCTCCAAGTTGGGTATTTGTTAATTAAGGTAATGGCGTAATGCTTTGTTTTATATTGGTTTTTCCTTCTTTTTTTTTTCTTTTTTTTTTTTTAATGTTTTTCTTGTTCTTGGTAGGATAATACTCTTAGGATATTCTTTGATTTCTTTAACAATGTTTAATCCGAAGATGTCTGTTTCATGGAGTGATATGAATGTACTATGAGCTCAATTCCAAGAGCACAATAGATTGTATTGGATTGTGAAAAAGCTCACAATAAGATTATTTCACATTCTAAAATCTCTCTTATTATATAATTTTAACAGTTTCACATAGTTAAAACTACTCATCACATTTATGAACATAAAAATGGGAAATTTCTGTTGAGCTGGTTATGATTATGATCCCCACTAATTCATGACCCCACCACCCACCTCGGCCCTTCTTTCCATCCATCTTCCTCCGCATTTCCGACAATCAAAATGAAAATTAATTCCTACCCTTTGAATCTTTGATTGTTAGGTTGCTTGAGCTAAAAGAAAAAATAAATTTCTCTGCTTCATGAAAGGAAAATTCAATATCTAACTGATTTGCTTTACGCTAATATTCTGCATATTCTTTCCAGTTCCGAGCATTACTGCCATTTCATCTGCGTGATTTTACCGAAATAGCCTTATGCTCGGAGATTTCTAGATTAAAAAAATCAATGTTTGGTAAGAAAATATTACAAAATAAAAGATTTAGATTTGATTTTTCTTTTTATAATAATTAGCAGTAAAGTTTTGGTACAGTTTCCATCTTAATTCTGGGGTTTTCTTCTATAAATCTCCTCCAACCCCTAACATTCAATATTCTCTTCTCTTCTTGATTTTCCCTTCATTCCATCTCTCTGTTTAGGTGCTTTGTTTCTTCTCTGCTTCTTTTTTTCTTTCTTCTTCATGTAGTTTTAGCTTCATTCTGTCAAATTTCTTCTGGGTTTATGCATACTTTTGGAAACAATCCCATGTTGCACTTCTTCTTTACCCATCTGGGTCGCCTTCTTTGAGTAAACATAAGAGAAAACAGAAAACTGGGACTTTTCTCCAATTTCTCTTTTCTCTTTGTAGAACGTACTGTTGTGCTTAAGCTGATCCCATATCCACCTGAAGTGATCAGAGTTTGTGGGATTTCTCAGTTCCGCACTAATTTAATTATAAAATAGATCTTACAATATTCTTCTCATAAGAAAATCTTATGGTATTCTTTTGCATCTTTGTTGATGCAAAAAAATAAAAATAAATAAATAAATAAATAAAAATAAAGAAACTCTGTTTAATACTAAAAAAATTCCCCATGAGGTTGGTAGAATGGGGTTGTGGGTTTGGAAATTCTTGAACCACCTAGAAAATAATGTAATCTAAGTTGGGTTTGACTTTTATGGATGTTTTTCCATCTCCATTATCTTGTGTTGGATAATTAGTATCATTCTGACTTACTCTGTTTTCCTTCTGTTTTTCCAGTTGAAATTTTGAGCAATGGCGGATCTGGCTATCACCCGTGTTCAGAGCCTTCGTGAGCGGCTGGAAGAGACTCTCAAGGCTCACCGGAATGAGATTCTGGCCCTTCTCACTAGGTATATATGAACAGATCTCTACTCTGGTTTTTGGGTTGTTTTCGTCTTTTGGGGGTTTCTTAGTAGGGTTGGTTTTTGGTACAGGATTGAGGCTAAGGGCAAAGGAATCCTTCAGCAACCTCAAATTGTTTTGGAATTCGAAGCCATCCCTGAAGGACCCAGGAAGAAGCTTGAGAATTCAGTGTTTGGTGAAGTGCTCAAGTCTAGCCAGGTAAACATGGGATCATCTCATTGCCTTCCAAATCTTGCACTTTTAACTTTTTCCGGCATTAGTTTTCCGATTGTTTCTCCGGTGATTTTGCAGGAAGCGATTGTGTTGCCTCCATGGGTGGCACTCGCCGTTCGTCCAAGGCCTGGTGTGTGGGAATACATCAGAGTGAATGTCCACGCTCTGGTCGTGGAGGAGCTCCGCGTGGCTGAGTACCTCCACTTCAAGGAGGAGCTCGTCGACGGAACGTAAGTTTCTGATTCATTGGTTTCAAATTTTAAGGTTTAAGAAAAGATCACGGGCCTTAAGGTTCTGCTTGGCTTTTACCTTGTAGCCTGAACGGTAACTTTGTGCTTGAGTTGGATTTTGAGCCATTCACTGCGACTTTCCCTCGCCCAACCCTTGAGAAGTACATAGGTGACGGTGTTGAGTTCCTCAACCGCCACCTTTCGGCAAAGCTCTTCCATGACAAGGAGAGCCTCCACCCACTTCTTGAATTCCTCAGAGTTCACTGCCACAAGGGCAAGGTACCCTTTTGCCATAATTTTGTTGTCGCATTTCTTGCTCGTTTACTCGGTAATTTTAGCCACAATAGAAGATCCAAACAAGGAAGATTGAAAAATTATAAGATCTACTGTCTTTTAGATATGTTGATGCTTGGATCTACTAGGGTTTTAGGATGGTTTTAGATGTTGCTTGTGGTATATCTTGATGAAGAGATTACCTTTGTTCTTTGCAGAACATGATGCTGAATGACAGAATTCAGAATCTGAATTCTCTCCAATATGTTCTGAGAAAGGCTGAGGAGTATCTTGCCTCACTTCCTTCAGAAACTCCATACTCCACCTTTGAACACAAGTTTCAGGAAATTGGTTTGGAGAGAGGATGGGGTGACACTGCAGAGCGTGTGCTAGAGATGATCAGGCTCCTTTTGGACCTTCTCGAGGCACCTGATCCCTGCGCTCTGGAAAATTTCCTTGGAAGGATTCCCATGGTCTTCAATGTTGTGATCCTTACTCCTCACGGTTACTTTGCTCAAGACAATGTCTTGGGATACCCTGACACTGGTGGCCAGGTTAGCCTTTACAAGCCCAGTTGATCATATTTTACATGGACTATATAGTGTGAATTGCTGTTAGACTAATTTTGTTCTACCTATAGGTTGTTTATATCTTGGATCAAGTTCGTGCACTGGAGGAAGAGATGCTTCTCCGAATCAAGCAGCAAGGACTCAACATTACTCCACGCATTTTGATTGTGAGTGTTCTTGTGTTTTTATTGTACATAATTCATTCAATGGTGATTTTAGGCAAGTCTTGATGTTTGATCTCTCCTTGCAGATTACCCGTCTCCTCCCTGATGCTGTTGGAACAACTTGTGGTCAGAGGCTAGAGAAAGTATATGGCACCAAGTATTCAGATATCCTCCGAGTACCCTTCAGAACTGAGAAGGGAATTGTACGTAGATGGATCTCAAGATTTGAAGTCTGGCCTTACTTGGAAACTTACACTGAGGTAAAACATGTGCTCTTAATGTTGATACTGAACATCTTTTTGCGAAATTTCTGGTCTTTTGTTTGGATTCATTTATGTAATTGAACTTATCGTTGTTTTCAGGATGTTGCTGCCGAAATTGCCAAGGAGTTACAGGGTAAGCCAGATCTGATTGTTGGAAACTACAGTGATGGGAACATTGTTGCCTCTTTGCTAGCACATAAGTTGGGGGTTACTCAGGTTTGTAGATCTGATTTCTTTGGATTTTTTTGGTCTAATAACCTCGGAAAGGGAACTTACCATGATTTTTGTTGTCTTTTGCAGTGCACAATTGCTCATGCACTTGAGAAGACTAAGTATCCAGATTCAGACATCTACTGGAAAAAACTTGATGATAAATACCACTTCTCTTGCCAGTTCACAGCTGATCTCATCGCCATGAATCATACCGATTTCATCATCACCAGCACCTTCCAAGAGATTGCCGGAAGGTAGTTTTTTCATCTATTTCTTCTTGAGATGATTTTGGAATTGTTTCTCTTTAGATCTTGACATTATTTCATTCAAATGATTTCAGCAAGGACACTGTTGGTCAGTATGAGAGCCACACTGCTTTCACCATGCCGGGTCTCTACCGAGTTGTTCATGGGATTGATGTGTTTGATCCCAAATTCAACATTGTCTCCCCTGGTGCTGATATGAGCATCTACTTCCCTTACACTGAGGAGAAACGTAGGTTGAAGCATTTCCACCCTGAGCTTGAAGAGCTCCTATATAGCTCTGTTGAGAATGAAGAACACTTGTAAGTCCCTCACTTGGTTTCCCATAAATGCTATATTTCAAGTCCTAATACCAAGAATTCCAACAGAATTACTGACATTTTTTATATTGTTTTGCAACAGATGTGTTCTTAAGGATCGTAGCAAGCCAATTCTCTTTACAATGGCAAGGCTTGATCGTGTAAAGAACTTGACAGGACTTGTAGAATGGTATGGAAAGAATGCCAAGCTCCGTGAATTGGTTAACCTTGTTGTGGTAGGAGGAGATAGGAGAAAGGAGTCCAAGGATTTGGAAGAGAAGGCTGAGATGAAGAAGATGTTCGAACATATTGAAAAATACCAGCTGAACGGACAATTCAGATGGATTTCATCCCAAATGAACCGTATACGGAATGGTGAACTATACCGCTACATTTGTGACACCAAAGGAGCATTTGTGCAGCCTGCATTGTATGAGGCCTTTGGACTTACCGTCGTTGAGGCCATGACCTGTGGATTGCCTACATTCGCCACTTGCAAGGGTGGCCCTGCTGAGATCATAGTCCACGGTAAATCTGGCTACCACATTGATCCTTACCATGGCGACCAGGCTGCTCAGATCCTTGTGGACTTCTTCGACAAGTGCAAGAGTGATCCAACTCACTGGGACAAGATCTCTCTCGGTGGATTGAAACGTATTGAGGAGAAGTAAGCACATTAGTACACCACACTGATTCTAATTACATGGCAATTGGTAAATACAACTTAAAAGATCCTACTTATTCTTAACGTCATCAATCTACAGGTACACATGGAAAATTTACTCCGAGAGGCTGCTTACTCTGACCGGCGTCTATGGCTTCTGGAAGCACGTCTCCAACCTTGACCGCCTTGAGAGCCGCCGCTACCTTGAAATGTTCTATGCTCTCAAATACCGCAAACTGGTAAATTAATCTCCTTCCCCTCATCTTAACATCTTCTATTCTGTATTTCTTTTTTAATTTTTTTTAATTAATATTTCTAATTACAATGTCTTGTATAATTTTTTTCAGGCGGAAACTGTTCCTTTGGCTGTTGAGGACTGAGGAGAAAGCTTGGCAGAGGATTTGATCCATCCCCCTGGAGTTTTTCTATTTTG